ACCCTACAAGGCATGGGTAGGCAACATTAAACAAAGAGTTTTTGAAGGGTGGCCTTATTTATTGATTAGGTTTGTAACAATTTACAATCTTAAAAATTTTTAATTTCCACTGACATGACTGAATAGAATCTGACCTAAATAGGCATATTCTGACTTAGTTTGCTCTTCTTAATAGGTTTATGAGGGTCTTGTTGCGGATAACAAAATAGAGAATAATGGGCAAAAAGTGCAGAAAGAAGGGCAACACAAAAAAAAGAACAGAAAAATATAGAAAAAAAAAATGTAGAGAAAAATAGGGGGGGAGGGGATAAAGAATGGAGAACAAAGGGGTACTAAAATATAAAGAATAGAGAATAATCATGATAAAAGGCAAAATAAATAAAGAATATAGAAAAAAAAATGGTTTAAAAAATTAAAGAATAAAGAAATGAAGTACCTCCGTCGAGACCCTCCTTTTTGAGAAACTACTGATCCCTAAATTTTAAACACATGGGATTTTTGAAACAGTCAATAAACATTAATAATAGACATCAGTGTTTTACATGAACCCTTCCCCTTTAGTATGCTTAATTATTTCCAGTGTAAGTTTATACTGCTGTTATTTTGACTAACAGACTTAAAAAAGATTAAAGTATCTACTTGTAAATAGGATGAAATTCAGTATGGAAGTACAAATGTAGCAACTAGGAAAATAAAATGAACTTTCTTTTAGCCACAAAGAATATGATAAGTGCAGAGTGAAGGCTAATCGTGATATTTTCTATTTGTCCTACAAAAATTGCGTGTAATTGGCTTTTTGAGATAGGAAAGAAAACATTCATCTTGATAATTAAGAAAAAATCCAAGTTTAATTATTAAAATACTTTGATGTTTGACAAATGTGACATTACCGTAGAGTTCTGCAGACAGATTTGCTTTTTCTTAATTTTCATCATCTACCTTTTGATCATTGAAATTGATTAATTTCCTGATTATATATCTATAGATTTTTCTTTGTTTTTTTTTAGAATATTGATATTACAGGGGAGGTAATTAATTATTTCATCATATAAATTTCTTTTTTACTTAATTAAGATCTGAAGACTGTAATTGAAATAAGTAACCAGTCATGCTCCAGTGATTCCCTAAATAATCCACCAATTTTTTACACCAAAAAGGGGTCCTGGGCAAATTGGAAATTTTGTCATTTTGAGCTGTGCATTGTTGGAAGCCCACTCCTATCCATGCATTCAAATTTTGATCTTAAATTTTGTTAGCTGTGGAACCATAGCTCTTAATAGGTCCTAATGATATTTTTTGGCAATTAAGTTGGACCTAAGAGCTACGGTAACACAGCTAATATTTTGTTAAATATGTACATTTTTACAAAGCATGTGAAAGCTTAACTCACTTTTCCATATTCATGATATTTTATTGTAATGGTATTGTACATGCAAATCTTCATATAAAAGAAAGAAATCTTTGCCATGATAATGTATGTCCTTTCCAAAGGGTAGAAATATGGGAATAGATAACCTTAGCTGTATTTGGCAAATTGTTTGGTATTTGGGTCCTCAAAGCTCTTCAACCTTATACTTTATTTTGCCTTTAACTTGTTTAATTCGAGTATCACTGATGAGTGTTTTGAAAATGAAACGTGCGTCTGACGTACAAAATATATAAACCTGGTATCTATGATGAGTTTTTTTTATAGGCCTTTAAAATTCAGAAATTTAATTGCGTGCATTTATTATTCCAATTTTTGTGGTCGTATATTGGTATGACGTTGGCGTCGTCGTCGTCTGAAGACACATTAGTTTTCGCACTCTAACTTTAGTTTAAGTGAATGGATCTCAATGAAATTTTACCATAAGGTTCAATACCACAAAAGGAAGGTGGGGATTGATTTTGGGGGTTATGGTACCAACAGTTAAGGAATTAGGGGCCAAAAATAAGCATTTTTGTAACTTCCAGACATAACTTGTGTGTAAGTGTATGGATCTCTCTGACATTGTACCACAAGGTTCCATATCACAAAGGGAATGCTGGGATTGATTTTGGGGGTAATTGCCTCCAAATTTTAGGAATTAGGGGCCAAAAAGGGGCAAAAAACAAGCATTTTTCTAGTTTCATGACAATAACTTGTGTGTAAGTCTATGGATATCTCTGACATTGTATCACAGGGTTCCATATCACAAAGGGAATGCTGGGATTGATTTTAGGGGTAATTGCCTCCAAATTTTAGGAATTAGGGGCCAAAAAGGGGCAAAAAACAAGCATTTTTCTAGTTTCATGACAATAACTTGTGTGTACGTGTATGGATCTTTATGAAATTGTACTACAAGGTTCCATATCACAAAGGGAAAGCTGGAATTGAGTTTTGGGGTAATTGCCCAAAAAGTTTAGGAATAAGGGGCCAAAAAGGGGCCAAAAATAACCTTTTTTCTAGTTTCCAGTCAATAACTTGTGTTCAAGTGTATGGATCTCTCTGAAATTGTACTGCAAGGTACCATACCACAAAGGGAAGGCTGGGATTGATTTTGGGGGTAATTTATAACTCCCTCAAAATTTTAGTAATTAGGGGCCATAAAAGGCCAAAAAAACAAGCATTTTTCTAGTTTCAAGACAATAACTTGTGTTCAAGTGTATGGATCTCTCTGAAATTGTACTTCAAGGTACCATACCACAAAGGGAAGGCTGGGATTGAGTTTGGGGTGATGAATCATAAGGGGGTTTACAAAATTTTTTTGGGGGGGATTTTTTTTCTTTTTTTTTCTTTAAAATTTTCCATTTTAAATTGGTTATTTCTGATTTATATATATATAAAAGCAAATAATAATGATATGGTTTGAATAGGTAAATTAAAATTTTTTAAGGTCTTAGACCACTTTCATTCTGTGTCAGAAACCTATGCTGTGTCAAATATTTAATTACAATCCAAATTCAGTGCTGAATCAAGCTTGAATGTTGTGTCCATACTTGCCCCAACTGTTCAGGGTTCGACCTCTGCGGTCGTATCAAGCTGCGCCCCGGAGCATTTTATTGAAGATTGGACAAATATGAGAGATAAATGATTGTCATCTCAGGAAAAACTGCATATAGATATATGTATCAGATATACAAATGCAGGTTATTATTATTGTGATATCGAATTTACAGTATATTGCGCTTACTGTGTACACTGTTAATGGGGAGGGGGGAGGGGGTCAGTGACAAAATCCGCTCGAGTTGAAGTGTATTATCATTGATTAGTCTTTTTTGACAAGCTATTGATTGATTATGAGAATATTTCTCAGATTAGCAATACTTGAATTACAGTATTGCAATTTAGATCAGAGCTGTATCAAGTTTGAATGTAGTGTCTATACCTGTCCCAACTGTTCAGGGTTCGACCTCTGCCGTCGTATCAATCTGCGCCCAGGGGAGCATTTTATATCTATATGTTTTGCTTACTCTTTACACTGTGGAGTGTGGATGGCCACAGGGCAGTGACAAAATCCACTCGAGTTGAAGTGTTATATCATTGGTTTATCTCTTGTGACAAGCTATTGATTGATATTGAGAATATTTCTCAGATTACCAATACTTTAATTAGGTATTGCATTTTATCAGGGACAAACTCTTACATTGCTTGATTAGATCTGAGGTAAGCAGTTTAAATTGGTTATTTTATATGCTTAGTGATTATAGTATAGGGGTTTCCCTAATTTTGAACACACATTATACAAAATCTTAAATAAGGATGAAATAGCTGTTAAAGAAGATTTCATGATATTAAACCTTGTCATGAATTTGTTCATAAGATATTATTCGATTATTGGTTCTATGAGTTTTAATACCAAGTGTAGACAAAAGTCTCAGGTGCAGGGATACACTGGATTGCTGTGTATGTACCGGTAACAGTGAATCTTTTACAACAATGTACAATATCCTTTTGAATAGATAAATTCACTAGTATATATAGTGTAAAGATTCCATGACATCTTTTGCCTTGGGTTTTATTTCTGACAGACTAAACACATTTATAAAAGTAAGGAGATGAGGTATGATTGCCAATGAGACAACTATACACCAAAGTTCAAATAAAATGGATGTAAGCAATTATAGGCAATCACATGGCCTTCAAAAATGAGAAAAACCCCATACCGTATAGTCAGCTATAAAAGGCCCTGACACAAAAAAAATGAAACAATTCAATTGAGAAAATTAACGGGCTAATTTATAACAAAACAATTTACAAAAAACAAATTTGACAGACATGAACCAATGATAACCACTGAACTACAGGCTCCTCACTCACAGAATTGGGACAGGCACATAAAGAATGTGGCGGGGTTAAACATGTTTGTGAGCGCTAAACCTCTACTAGTCTAGTGCTAGTATGATAAACACTTGGACATTTCATATGCCTGAAATTCTATTAATTGGAATGAATGTACCCTTCATACATGTTTTAAGTCTTTTAAAGGTAAATGTATATTTTAAGACATTCTGGGTATAATGACCCTTCTCTGCCATAATTTTCAATTTACAATTCAAACATTTGGTTATAACATTTCACTTAGCATGGTTACTTCAATTTGGACTCAATTTATTTTTTGTGTGAAGCAATATTCATTGATTGCGAAAAATTTCTATTTCGATTGATGATTGACTTCCTGGTTGTGACTAATTTCTGTATACAGTTCCAGGGCTACATGTATAGGAAATTAATTCATAGATTCATACTATGGACGGATTGATACCGGTAATGAACATTTTGAAATTGATAGCCATCAATGTTATTCAGATATTGCTTTCTATCAGGGGCAACTCCTTACATTGCCAAATTAGTTGGTTTACATTTGTCATTTCAGGACCTTTTATAGCTTATTATGCAGTATGTGTTTTGCTCATTGTTGAAGGCCATAAGGTAACCTAAAGGTGCTAAATTCTATGTCATTTAACTTTTGGTGGAGAGATGTTTCATTGGCAATCATACCACATCTTCTTATTTTTATAATGACATCTTTTATTTTCAGTGTCCCTTCGTGTTTGCCATTACTCCACATTTGACATGACATCTTTCCGACCTATTGTAATCAGCGGACCATCTGGGGGAGGTAAAAGTACACTGTTAACACGCCTTTTCAAAGAATTCCCAGATTGCTTTGCATTTAGTGTTTCACGTAAGTAATAATATTTGTGAATTGAATGAAAAAGTCTGTTATATTTTTTTTCTGCAGTGTAAATTGATATTTGTATATATATGCCTATTGTACGAAGGATTTTTTTATTTGTCGTTTTATGGTTGCAATACTCTGAGACTACTATAACACTATATGTGTTATAGTAGTCTCAGCAATACTTAATAGTAAAATTATTTACATTATCATACACTTATATATAATTATTCCAGTATGCTTGAACCTATTCTGACATTTGAAACATTTTGGAGATCACTAAACAGTCAGGGGAATTACTGAAATGAGTGATTTATAAAATCACTTATCTAAGTAGAAAATTCGAAATTTTGTCACAAATTGAGATTTTATAGTTTTACTAAAATTTTAAACATACAGGTTTAAAGGTTATATCTTGGTCTATATACTAGCTTTGATAAGTGTTTGGTATTACTATAAATTTTCACTTCTGCGTACTATGAACATCAAAATTATTTATTTTGTAAAAATATTTCCTTTCTCTATTTGAACTGTACATGTATACCTAACAACAAAATTATTTTTATTTACCTGTGTTTAAAGTAGCCTGAGATCCTGGCCAACTGCTTGACAGTAGAGCCAGGCGGAATACAACAACATGGTTCCGTCAATTGGATGTTAGAATGATGCATCTTGGGATAGCGTCATTTCTTGACACATGGCGGGAAATATTTATATTGCCACAAATTTATTGAAGACTATTTTTATTTTCATATGAAATGCAAATTTCGAAAACTTCTAACAAATATAATCCAAGCGTTGTTGATTAACATCGTGAATCAACAGTTAATTAACAATCCGATCGTTAAATCCTTGATTATAAAATACGCACATGCGCAGTAATTCAGTCCTGTTCAGCGCTGATAGTTGGTCACGTGGATTGTATTATGCCTGGCCCTATCGACGAAGTATTAGATTGGGTCAGGAAACCAGGCTATGTTTAAAGTAATTGCAAATGGCTGATATTTTTGTTCAAGTATATTGCTTTTCTTAAATTGTTTAACATTTCACAGCGGTATAATATGTTACTTTAATTATTCTTCCCTTAGTTTATTTATTTTGTATTTGCATTGTATCATAGATCAAATTTATTTGTTCAGTGTATGTTCACTGGTGTTAAATTATGTCTTTTGATTGAGTTAAGCCATTATAATTGATATTTTATAGTGTGTTTTTCTATGTTGTGATGTTACACCATTAAAACGTTTAAACCCGCTGCAATTGTTTGCACCTGTCCTAAGTCAGGAATCTGATGTTCAGTAGCTAGTTGTCGTTTGTTGATGTGGTTCATAAGTGTTTCTCGTTTCTTGTTTCTGTCGAGCCTTCGACTTTAGTCGAAAAAGCGAGACATAGCGATCCTACATTCCGTCGTTGTCGTCGGCGGCGTCCACAAATATTCACTCTGTGGTTAAAGTTTTTAAAATTTTAATAACTTTCTTAAACTTTCCTGGATTTCTACCAAACTTGGACAGAAGCTTGTTTATGATCATAAGATAGTATCCAGAAGTAAATTTTGTAAAAATAAAATTCCTGTTTTTCCGTATTTTACTTGTAAATGGACTTATTTTTCTGCCAGGAAACATTACATTCACTCTGTGGTTAAAGTTTTTAAAATTTTAATAACTTTCTTAAACTATCCTGGATTTGTACCAAACTTGGACAGAAGCTTGTTTATGATCATAAGATAGTATCCAGAAGTAAATTTGTTAAAAAAAAATTTCCTTTTTTCCGTATTTAACTTATAAATGGACTTAGTTTTTCTGCCAGGAAACAATACATTCACTCTGTTGTTATAGTTTTTAAAATTTTAATAACTTTCTTAAACTGTCCTGGATTTGTACCAAACTTGGACAGAAGCTTGTTTATGATCAAAAGATAGTATCTAGAAGGAAATTTTGTTAAAATTTGTACCTTTTTATCCATATTTTACTTCTAAATGGACTTTGTTTTTCTTCCAGTTAACATTAAATACAGTTTGCAGTGAAAGTTTTTAAAACATTTATTAGATTCATAAAATATCCTGGATTTTTACCAAACTTTGACAGAAGCTTCTTACAATCAAACGATAGTATCTAAAGGAATATTTTTATAGATTTTTTTCCTCATTTTTGTTGAGCCTGCGATTAACAGCAAAAGTAGGCGAGACACTGGGTTCCGCGGAACCCTTACGAATTTTTTATATAGCTTAGACCGTTGGTTTTCCGTTTAAATGGTTTTACACTGGTGATTTTTGGGGCCCTTTATAGCTTGCTGTTCGGTGTGAGCCAAGGCTATGTGTTGAAGACCGTACTTTGACCTATAATGGTTTACTTTTATAAATTTTGACTTGGATGGAGAGTTGTCTCATTGGCACTCATACCGCATCATCTTATATCTAATTAGATTATATCTTATTATTAGTAAAATTGAATAAATAAACCTTTTTCTTCCTTTTAAGTAGCATATACCTTTGATGCAATCATTTAGCTGTAAATTCTATATTTGTTGAAAAAATGCTATAATAAAGGCTTTACATAATGAACTGATAATTTCTGAACAGATTTTTTCCCAGCAGTGGGAGTATTTTTCCTGTAAAATTCAAGGTTTCATCTTACAGATTATGTAATAAAATTTTACTGTTCGGCCGATCAAAATTTCACTGCTGGGGGGTGTTGAAATTAGTGGGGGTAACTAAAATAATACTTAAAGAAGTGATTTTTTGAAGAAAATAGAGATATGATACTTAAACAAGTGATTTTCATGTCATTATCCCAGATTCAGTACAATGTTATCACCTGAAATGACCGGTCATCCTATCAACACAGATGTTGGTTCTGATAATTTTAGCAACATAATTAGTCCCTGGATCATTAGTATTGTATATTTAAAGCTACAATAAAATTAAATCACTTAGTCTAGTGATTTATTTGTACTACTTAAACAGAAAGACAACTCTTACTTCCAACATTTGTGGACAAAATGTTACTTGAATCAGTGATTTAGAAATCATTCATTTAAGTAAGTCCCCTGACTGCTAAATGGAAACTTCATTTGAAATTCTACCCACACTCTGGTTAGTAGGGACTTGTAAAATAGTATCTTGTTTCTAGAAATTGTAAAATAATGTCTTGTTTCTAGAAATTGTAGCATCTCATCAGTTCATCAATTTATAAAAAAATAATTTCAATTAGCATCCATCACATCTAAGCAATACAGCATCACATTACCATCATGCAATTCTATAAGGGCTTGGGGAGACTATATTTTATTTAAATGTAGGAAAAAAATTAAATATTTTTCTCCTATAGAAAATTTTGATTGATTGGATGTAGTCTGATGTGTACGTAAAAATTTGTATGTTGTAAAAATGAGTTGATATGTTTAACTGTTTAATGAAACTACTTTTGTTTCAGCTTATAGGCAATTGATAAATATGCAGATTTTAATTTCATGTTGATAGAATGGATGTAGTCTGATGTGTGTAAAAATTGGTGGTTGTTAAAAATTCATAGTTTTCTTACTTTCCTATCATGACAATGTTTAAAAATAGTTTCTATGTTATTTATAGATACAACAAGAAATCCAAGAGCAGGCGAACAAGATGGAAAAGGTAAATTGTCAGAATGAGATGTTCTAGATCGAGAGGCTTTTCAGGGATCTCCTCCTTCTACTGATGACCATACATAACTTCCCAGAGAGAATAAATTAAACTTTGTATATCATTTAAAATAAATTCAGATTTCGTAACAATTAAGCAATTTTAGCAATTTTATAACTAGTGAGAATTGAATATGACTTTTATAAACTCGAATTAGTAAGTTCATTAATTTTTCAAAATTAAATAAAGAAATAATATCCAGAGGCGGGTCCAGGATTTCAGGTTATGGGGGGGGTGCAAACTTAAATTTTTCGGCGATGGGAGCGAGGTGAAAATATTTTTGAGGTAAAGTTATCGAAATATTTTTTATTAAGCTGAGGACAAACCATGCTTTGCAAATTTTAAGGGAGGGGGGGGGGGGGGGGGGTTTAATTGACTAGGATTGTCAGTTTTCCTATCGAAGGTCTGGGGTTTTCTCCGGGCACTCTGGCTTCCTCCACCAATAAAAACTGGCCGCCACGAAATAGCCCAAAAGCGGTGCTTTAAAGAGTGGCGTTAAAACACCAAAAAAAAAAAAAAAAATAATAATATAAAGATTTTTAAGTGAAAAAACAAGTGTTTTTGTATATCATGTACATGTATATTATTGAAGAAATTACAAATCTTTGTTGAAATGGCATAAACTTTGTCTGTTGGTACCTTTGAAATGAATAGCTAAGGGAAATGTCACAAGTCCTTATACATTTTTGTAACATTGAAGGATCCAAGTCTTTGCTAGTATTCCTAAATGCAACATGAGGTAAAAAAATTATTTTAAAACCGTTGGTTTGACACAGTTAGGCATTAGAGCTTATCATTTGTACTCAAGGGGAGCATGCAACCAAGAGATGGCTTTGGCTGTCTGTTAGAAAGAACTTGACAAGATTTTAGAAACATAAATTACTTCTATTTGCATGCAAGGGCGTCAGTGGCCTAGTAGTCTTAAGTAGTCAAACTACTGTATCACTAGCCTGTCAACACTGAGGTTGTGAGTTCTACTCACATGTGGCAGGTGTGCTGAACTCCAATCTTAATTGACTAGGATTGTAAGTTTTCCTACTGAAAGTCAGTGGTTCTCTCTGGGACCCCTGGCTTCCTCCACCAATTAAACTGACTGCCGCAAATAGCACAATAATGCCGAAAGTTGCGATAAACACCAATCAATCTATTTGCATCCATTTCTTATATTTTGTAAGCTCTTTTTTGAGATTCGTTATGCCCCTGCTGTAGCGGAGGGGGCATTGAGTTTTACCCTTGTCCGTCTGTACGTACATTCCATAGTTGGTTTCCGTTCTCTAACTTCAGTTTGCCTCATCCTAATGTTAAGAAACTTATACACAATACTTATTACTACAAAACTCAGATCAAGAAAAAATTTGGGTAGCGTTACTTTTTTTACCGTTCTTCAGTTATGTCTGTTTATAACTTTATATGATATGCAAGCGGGGGCATCATCTGTGTCCCATGGACACATTCCCCATTTATTTTGTAAAGAGTTTGTATGATTTATTTTCAGATTATTTCTTTGTTACCAGGCCAGACTTTGAGGCGATGATTGCAGAGAATGGGTTTTTAGAACATGCAGAATTCTCAGGGAATAGATATGGAACAAGGTATGATGTTTTCTAACTCTTCTCAGTTTTCTGTTTTCTGTCAATAAAAATTTTAGATGGAGAATTAATGATCAGTCAAAGACTACCAGACAACCCTAGGCCTATGTCAAAAAAGAAAAAAAAGTTTAAATGAAAAATAACACAAAAAAACTGCAGAAAACTATTGATTGAAGAATTTTAAATTAGCAAAATACTATGGGCTAATTCAGTGTAAACATTTCTTTTAAATCCTCTTCATTTGGTTATATTTCTTGTTGACCTCATCCCCTTATTTTATTTGGTCTTTCTCCGCTAGTGGTACAGATTATGTTAATTGCTCTTTTGACAAGTAAAAGTCTAGTGACAAGTGTCATTTGGTTATTTCACAATTGACAAAAGACTGATGGAATATTGGCTGAATCAAACAGATAATATCAATGTTCATTTTTTCGACTAGCTCTAAATTTTTGGATAAAATATGTCAAAAAAAGACTGATGGAATATTGGCTGAATCAAACAGATAATATCAATGTTCCTTTTTTCGACTAGCTCTAAATTTTTGGATAAAATATGTCAAGGGAAGTTATCTTGTGTCTCACTTTCTGCTACATAAGTCTTTCATGATGTGAAAAATTATACAAACATATATAGTCTAAAAAATATCAAATTTGTATCTTCTTTTTTATGAGAACACAAGCACAGTATGAAAATCGTGTAAATCAATTCCTGAAATGGACTAAAAACATCTGTGAAAATTTTTTGTTAACAAAATTTGACTTGGCTCTCACCTTGACATAGCCTTTTTGTGCTGAGGTGGCTTAAAACAAACACAGATCAATCAATTCATCTGTGAAAATAAGTTGGTTTACAGTATTTCTTTAACCTGTGTGCTTAGTAGTCTAACTACTATATCACTAACCTGTCAACAATGTAGTTGCCAGTTCGAAACCAGCACGTAGCAGGTGGGTTTGACTCCCAATCTTAATTGACAAGAATTGTCAGTTTTCCTACCATGGGTAGTTGGTTCTCTCCAGGCACTCCAGCTCCCTCCACCAATAAAAACTGGCTGTGAGTTTGAATCTAGCATGTGACCGCGGTGCATTCAACTCCAATCTTAATTGACTGTCAGTTTTCCGAGCACTCTGTCTTCCTCCACCAATAAAAACTGGCCGTCACAAAATAGCACAATAGCACAGAAAGTGGCATTAAACACCAATCAATCAATCAATTTAACCTGTGTGTTTGTATCCTGACTGTTAAGGAAAAAAAAACTAGATGGTTGAAAATTAAATATATTCATGACCTTTCAGTAAGAAAGCTGTAGAAGATATACAGAAGACTGGAAGAATATGTATATTGGACGTAGAAGTCAATGGTGTGAAAAATATAAAAAAGACAGATTTCAATGCTAGATATGTGTTCGTCAGACCTCCAAGTATGGAGGTGTTGGTAAGATAACTTACTGTACTTTTTAACACACAATACTTTAAATATTATGAGAAAACTACAGAATAGACTATGATTATGTTACCGGTACTAGATAAAAAATTTGATTAACCCGGTACAGTGTTTCATTGTGAATGACCCATGCCAAAACTAGCAAAAATTTAATTTTGACTGAATCACACTGTGTGTACTGTCCATTAACCCAAGTACAAGAGCTTAGCATGTGGGTCTAATGTTAATTATACACTGACTCATAGAGTGGGGGATATATTGCATTTGCCTTGCTTGTCCCTCTGTCTTACAAATATTTTTGTCACTCGTGTACTATTCAACAGAATGACTTCATATGGTGTCAACAGCTTGAAAGTGATTGGTTATATCCATGAGCTCTCTCGAGATCTGTTTATCACCTTCTTTCTGATTGCCGGACCTCAATTGCCGAGTGGTCTAAGTAGTTCATCTACTGTATCACTAGCCTGTCAACACTGAGGTTGTAAATTCAAACTTCGCATGTGTCAGGTGCGCTTGACTCCAATCTTAATTGACAAGATTGTCACTTTTCCTTCTGATTTTTTTTTCTGCCCCCGCCGTAGCGGTGGGGGCATTAAGTTTTACCCTTGTCCGTCTGTTTGATGTCCCAAAATTGGTTTCCGTTCTCTAACTTGAGTTTGAATTTTGGTGGCGTCACTTTAATCGTTCTAGAGTTATGCCCCTTTATAAATGGAAAAATTGCAAAATTTTTAGTTTCCATTCTCTAACTGAAGTTTGCCTCAACCAAATGTTATGAAACATATACACAATGCTTATTACCACAAAACACAGATCAAGTTTGAATTTTGGTTGCGTCACTTTAACCGTTCTAGAGTTATGCCCCTTTATAAATGGAAAAATTGCACAATTTTTAGTTTCTGTTTTCTAACTTAAGTTTGCCTCAACCAAATATTATGAAACTTACACACAATGCTTATTACCACAAAAAACAGATCAAGTTTGAATTTTGGTTTTGTCACTTAAACCATTCTAGAGTTATGCCCCTTTATAAATGGAAAAATTGCAAAATTTTTATTTTATTCTAAATATCAAGTAAAATTTAAAATTGGAGTTATCTTTCTTTGTCCATGATTAAAGTTGAATCAACTACAATCAATGCTTTATACAATGCGATGTTTAATTTTGACTTCCACTGATAAAACACAGATCAAGTTGAATTTGGGTAGTGTCACTTTAACCATAATGGAGTTATGCCCCTTCATAAATCGAAAGATTGCAAAATTTTTAGTTTCCATTCTTTAACTTAAGTTTGCTCCAACCAAACATTATGAAACCTATATACACAATATTCATTACCACAAAAATAAGATCAAGTACAAATTTTTTGTTTCCGTTTTCTAACTTTAGTTTGCCTCAACCAAATGTTATGAAACTTATACACAATGCTTATTACTACATAATACAGATTAAGTACGAAATTTGGTTGGGACACTTTTACAATTCTTGAGTTATGTCCCTTTATAAACATAAAAATTGCTGAATTTTTTCGTTTCTGTTCTCTAACTTTAGATTGTCTCAACCAAATGTTATGAAACTTTTACACAACCGTTCTAGAGTTATGCATGTTTACAAACAGAAAAATTGCTGAATTTTTCGTTTCTGTTCTCTTCTTAAGTTAGCCTCAACCAAATGTTATGAGACTTACACACAATTTTTATTACCACAAAACTCAGATCAAGTTCAAATTTGGGTAGCGTCACTTTTACCATTCTTCAGTTATGTCCCTTTATAACTATATGATATGCAAGAGGGGGCATCATCTGTGTCCACATGTGGACACTATCCACATTCATTCTTTTACACATCTGCAGCACTACTGAATGACTTTATATTTAGTCAACAGCTTGGCAGTGATTGGTTGTAATGTGTCAGTGCTTTCATTTATCTTCAGACATCCACTTCTTTTCCAATATTTTTGAAATTCCAGCCGGGGTATGCTTATTATGACAAAGCATGTATTCTTGTTGAGAGTTAAACTAGGATTTGATATGTGTTTTCAAGTTATTTTTTTAATATGAACTTCTGAATTATTTTTTTTTAGGTTGAAAGATTAAAATCTCGGGGAACAGAAACAGAAGAAAGTTTACAGAAAAGAATAAATTCAGCGAAAGAGTCTCTGGAATATGGTATGAAAAAGAAATTCTTATAATTGTGCCAAAAAATATTGGAGAGGGGGAGTTTGAGAGTAATATATTTTTTTTTCTCAAAATCAATCTGTTTTTCAGTTTCAAAATAATTTTTTTTCAAGAAAACTCTTTTCCTTTTTTTGAACAAAAAAATATTAAAGATAAACATCAATATTTTTCATTTTGGAACATTAATGAGGGGCTGGATGGGGTTTACATAATAGAGAATAATTACCAAATAAAATAATGAGGGTGGTAATGGGTTATTTTCGTCCAACGTGTTTTGTCATTTTTATTTCACGTGCAGCTGTGAAAAAGGTTTGTTATTCACCATGTTTCGTGAAATTCGTAAAAAGATCAACGTGCAAGAACGTTTTAATTGTTCGTTCATCGTGAAATTGCAATTTTATTTCGCGTTCTTCCGTCCAGATATCCCCCCCCCCCCCCCTTTACGCCCCTCAATAATGAATTAGAGAAAAATTAGCAAAAAATATAAAGAATAGAGAATAATGGGGTGCAAAAGTTTAAAGAGTAACTGTGGAAAATTTTCTTAGCATAATACAGTGAAACCTGTCTAAACCGAATCTTACATAAACCAAAACCTGTCTAAATTAAACTTTTTCAGTCCAGTCATATCAAATTTTATGTTTTGTGAACCTGATTAAACTGAACATCTGCCAAAACCGAACAAAATCCGAAGTTCTGAAGAGGTTCGGTTTAGACAGGTTTCACTGTAATTATATATAATAGATTAATGAATGTCATTCTACTTTATTCAAAATGCAAATGATAACTATCAGTTACTGTAAATTCAGAAATTATTGCGAGGTTTTTATTAATGCGACCAGGCGAGTATCGCAATCATAAGAACTCGCATTTTGATAACTTAAACATAGATCTATATGTAGATTTTTCTGAAATCGCAATAATTAAAATCGCATTCTCGTCCATTTTTGAAAAATTGCAATAATGAATGCACGCAATAATTTCTGAATTTACAGTTAGCTTGGGTTTAATCATAGTTAACACTATTTTACGAAATTCTCCTTTGATCTTACTGACTGATAATTTTCTTTCTCAGCACAGTAGAGTGATATGAAAAATTATCGCTAGAAACTAAGGGTGCACGTGCCGTTGTCGGTGAAATTAACAAAGTCGTCATAGGTAAAATAGCGATAAACAGATTATCATTGGTCATCTCAACTCGATTGATTTTCTCACTTTCGCCGTACTGGCTCAAGCGAGAAAATCAATCTCGTTGAGATGACCAACGATAATCTATAAATGTAGCAGGGTCAGTATGTTAATCTTATAGGTGTTTTTTTTCTTCTTCAGCTGAACAGAAAGGCAGCTATGATCATATTGTGGTTAATGATGATTTAAACAAAGCCTATGACAATTTCAGGGGATTACTAATAGAGGTATGTTATAGGATTTAAGATTGGAGGATTGGTAGCAATTTTATGCAGGTATCTGTAGAATAGATCGAAGTTATAGAACCCATCATAGAATTAAAATAATTATCAGCAAACACATTTTCTTGTAATTTGATTAATATTTAAGGTGGATCATTGTTATAGATTTAATCTGATAGAATTTTCTTTAACTTTGGCAAAATGTAGATTTTTCCAGGCTTTTTTCAAAAATAGGATAAAAGGTATGATTCACCTTGATAATTTTCACAAATTTGCATAGATCATTCAGGAAAAAACATTTTTTTGTGAATAAAATGAAATCTATGAGATAGAATTTATATATGAAATATGAGATGATAGGTTGATTTACATTACTTGATTTACATTAGTTAATGTATTTGCAATGTTTTGTATTTGTAGGATATTACAGCACTGCAACAAGCCAGATTAAAAGCAACGAAATAATGATGGCAAAAAGATTAGAAAAAACTTTACTGTTATCTACATTTCTGTATTTCCAGATAGAAAATAAAACATTCCTTCTTAATGTTATAAAATAAAAATCATTTGGATTTTTTTTTATGTTGCATTACTGTCTCATGATAAAACAGAACGTTTTATTTTATTCCTATTTGCAATTATGATGTAACGAATTCTTAAGGTATATGAACTTTTTTTTCTTCTGGAAATGCAGGATTGCCGATTATGTGAAAAGGTTGAATAATTCTGCAATAAATTGGTAGCTCAACACTATTTTACAGTGCAATTTGCAAGGATTTTTTTTATAATAATGCAATTGATTTTTAGCAGCTACTGGAATGTGTAGCTTCGTATTGAAAACAAATTATAAAGTTTTGGTGGGTTTAATTTTAAGCTATCATATAAAATCCTGTTGAACAGGAATTGTAATGTATTACTGTATATTAAGGATATACTTAGGTCAGGTTTAGGAATTTTTGTCAGATGTTCAGACTCCTTGTTTTTTTCCTACGATACAGGGTAAAATATTTTGCCCAATAACACCCATTTTTCTTTTCATATAAAACTTCAATAGCTCATAAAAGATCATATACCAAAATTTATGCAGATTCTAGATTTCTTTTCTTTCGATTTGAGACCCAAATAATATCAATGCAAATATAAGGTAAAAGTCTGAGTGAGCCTTTTCCCGCCATATTTCAAAAATTAAATATCTCGAAAAGGAGCTCCATAACCTATCAATATTTTTAGCTTATTTTGTTCCTTAACTAATGCTCTTCTAACTTATAGTATCAATTTTAAATTCTAGATTTTTTTAATTTCACCTAAGTACATCCTTAAAAGAATTCATGTCTTCATAATCTAAATAAATGTGGGTAAGTAAGTATTGTTTATGGAATAAGACCACTAAATCATAGCCCATTGCTTTCTATGTTCAATTCTGCAATTTAGAGCGTTCATAGCTATTTTGTCGAATGTTCAAATAAAGTGACAGTCATTTCATGTCAAAACTATGCCTGCCTTATCCTGAAAAATTCAGCATACATGTAATAGCATATTAAAGTGAACTGGTTCCCCGAAGTTTGGTAGTACAAAAACAGGTACTGTTGATTGAGTAACAGGCCAAATATGCCCTCCTTTTCAAATTTCATATATTTTTTCTTATTATTCAAAATAAACTTTGAACAAGGGTTTTTCAATGGTCCAAAGTCCTTAAGCTTTTATCTGATACCAAAATTACACAAATATTTTACTTAGTGAAAAAGTTACAGCTTTGCGTAAGAACTGTTTTGTTTGAAATATGTGCTACTTTTTTGTATATTCTTTCTAACCGGGCCTGAATTAGTGGTTCTTTACCACAACAAAATCAATGTTACATATCGACTGTGTACATTTTGTTGTACATTTTTAAAAGAATTACCTATACTGCCCTGGGTGGATCAATGATTTTTCAAAGGGTGTCACTGAAAATACATTTATTTTTCAAAATGTTCATCGGAGAAGTAAAATTAATTCCTGTTAATGTAATTGCCATTGAAACAAGTGTGAAATTTGATATCTTACTTAAGGATGTTCGCTACTCTGTTTCAAAATAACAAGCTTTTTAAAAGACTGTTATAAATTGTTAGTATATAAATAAAGGAACTTAAAAAGCAGAAAAAAATTAAGGGTTCGTGCGCTTGTTTTCGAGATATAAGCCATTGAACATTTGGCGGGAAATAATTCTATCTAGACTTTTCATACATTGAACATTGGCACCCTTTTTCTTTAAAATAATATGAAAAAATAACAAGGATTTCATAGCATTTTCAAATATGACTTTTAAATCTATATTTAATAAAATAATGAGAAGAAAAGTAGGGGTTAGCGAGGAAAATTGTTTAATGGCACTACATGGATAAAACCAGAGAATTCTGAATATCTGGCAAACAATTCAAAAACAAGAGGAGCGAACATCCTTAAGTTTTTAGTATCAGCAATTCTTACTAAATATCTTCATCGGAACAGATACTAGTATTTGTGTTTGAGCATTTCTTCTGTGATTTTTTTTAATTTTATATCAAATATTAATTAGCAGAAAATAAAAAGAATTATGTAACTTCAGAAGAAGAGACAAATTTCAATATATATATGCTGATGATTGTAACATTGTTGGATAAGGAATTATTGTGTATAGGTAGTTTTCCATTGACAAGATTTGGGTTAGAGTTATTTCCCTTTGGCAGCCATTTTGGATGATTTTTTTATTTGACTAATGAAGTTGGAACATGTTGTAAGTTCAAGTCAGATAAAAGATCCTTACTAGATCGAAGTGATAATTGAATAATAAAATTGAGAATGGAAATGGGGAATATGTCAAAGAGACAACAACCCGACCAAAGAGCAGACAACAGCCGTAGGCCACCAATGGGTCTTCAATGCAGCAAGAAAATCCCGCACCCGGAGGTGGTCCTCAGCTGGCCCCTAAATAAAATTGTGTGCTAGTTCAGTGAAAATGGACGTCACACTAAACTTCAAAACATATAAATGAACTAAAATTAAAAAACATACTAGACTAACAAAGGACAGAGGCTCCTGACTTGGGACAGGCGCAAAAATGCGGTGGGGTTAAACATGTTTTGTGAGATCTCAACCCTCCCCTCCCCCTATACCTCTAGCAAATGTAGAATAAAGAAACACATAGCAATACTCACAGTAAAACTCGGTTTAAAAGAAGTCTGAGTCCGATGTCAAAATAGGTAACAAAAGAAAGTATATTTCAGTTTTTATTTTAATTAAAATTGCAAAATGAAATAAATACAGTAATTCATTTTTGTTTAAATATTGCAACATTTATTCCATTTTGTTAAAATAACAAATCAGATTGTTAGAGGTACCTTTTTCCTTTTTCGTTATTAAAATGTCAAGAGGTAGAAATTAAATTTCAAAAAAAATAACTGAAATCTAAAATATATTTTAAAAAATTACATTGCATGCAAGATATGAAAATATTTTAAGCAATGAAATGACGACGTAGGAAGATTAATTAAATGTGCCGCGTAAATTACGAATAGGTAACAAAAGAAACATGACTTAAACAAATGCTATATATGCAATAAGATATAAAAATAACTTTTTTTAAAGTCTAGCAGTTAATATTACAAGCTGTTGATTAATGAAAGGGTGTTTGTGTACATTGTCTACAACATGTCAATAGACAGAAATGACTCTTACTTAAGGTGGTACCCAACACCTTGACTAAAATTAATTTGACTCGTTTAATTTTCATAAAATTTTGTCAAAATATTTACTTTGACCCTTTAAAAAAAAAATATAAATATTTCAAAAAACTTGAACCAACCACTTTCTTGGAAAAATTTCATTGGATATATAGCAGTTTGACAAACGCTAATTTTAATCATTGAGAAGCTTAATATTTCCTTAACAATACAACGTAATTAAAACGTTTAGTTGATTTTACAGAGTTATCTCCCTGTAGTGTTAGGTACCACCTTAAATAATGTCGATCAAAAACTATTGTGTGTTTATGTTTATATCTCTAATAAAAGTTGTGGGTAGAACATTGTTAATTCAGATATTAATGTGTATTGTGTATTTTATTTATAACTGTTATGCAAGTTGTGGGTAGACCATTGTTAATTCAGAAATTAATTTGTATTGTGTAATTTTATATAGCTTACAGCATTTAATCTGAAAATGTTTGACAAAACGTTAAATTGTCAAAGAAATTAGGTAAAGGAGAATTTATGAAAAAGCCACTTTTTTTACATTAAAGGAGTAGGCCTGGTAAGACCCCTTTTTGGCCCCAAAATATAGCATTTTTACAAATTTGTTGAAATGTAAACTATGAGCTATTTATTGGAAAGTAGAATACATTTGTTACATAAATATGGGCTGTTTTTGACAATACAATGCACATGCATCAGGTACTAGCATCATAAATTCATGCAAAATTAGTGAAATCTTCACAATTTTAGCATTTGTGCTAATTTAAGAAGGTATTTGTCTCAAATGGAAGTGGCCGCATTTGTGTTGAGTCTTAATATTTGAATATATGTTGTATTTGATGATAATACATAACATATATAAAGGTTGAGACTGAACACGAATGTGACCACTTACATTTTAGACAAAAACCATCTGAAAAGTGACATCTATGGCATATTTGATAAATTTTTCATATTTAAGCTTGAATTTGAGCCTCTTTAATGACCAAATTAGTTCAAATCTTTTACATAAACTAATTAAATCAACTGAAGTAGACACTTAAGTTTTTAAAAAATGTAAAAAATCTTTCATCAGATGTACTTCGAATTTTAGGCCAAAACTAGCCCTTACCGGACCTTCTCTTTTAGATATCTCAAAGTGTCATCAATGACAAAGAACAATCTTGTGTATAAAAAGAAATTTATGATAAAGAATTTTGAAATAAAATTTGAGAAGATAGGTTTTATAAAATTGAGAATTGAAATGGGAAATAATATGCTTTAAGAAAATAAAGGGAAAAAATGGTGTCACCTAACTTGTTTTCTTGCTACAAGCAAATAGTGAAAATTTCTGAACATTCCTTTATGAAAATTTTACTAAAAGAGTCATCTCCCCTTATATAGCTAAGTAGAAAAATGAATCGAAACAAAAAAACAAGTTTTGGTATTTGTTAAAATAGTCTTAATAATGCAATAAATCACTTATTTTTCTTTATTTAGATAAACAGTCTGGCACATTAATTGCCAATCTTCCTCAAAATTTGCAGATTTAAGTAAAGAGCTAAGCTACTTGTGTACTGCTATTTTACAACCCAAGTTGCGGTATACATTTAATCTACCTTAATTGTTACCAGTACACAGGTCTGTCAGATATCAATTTGAGATTGGGCTCTAGCTAAAGTCTCCATATCTAATTGAAGTGTTAAGCAAACACTAAATGGAATTTCAACTCATAATGGATCGTGAACTTAAGATTGATGGACTCTTGCAACTATGAAAAAAAACTCAAAAGATTTCTCATAGAAAATATTCATATTAATATTGTTAAAATCTTTATATATTATATTATACAAGCCAATAGAAAATTTGTACTTTGTTGAACATTAAATTTGTACTTTGGTGAACATTAAATTTGTACTTTGGTGAACATTAAATTTGTACTTTGGTGAACATTAAATTTGTACTTTGTTAAACATTAAATTTGTACTTTGTTGGAACATTAAATTTGTACTTTGTTGAACATTAAATTTGTGGTTCACCTTAACCCATAAAATCCATGAAGATTGGTCTCCCATAAATGATAATGAATCCGCAGAGTACAAGAAGACAGGGAGAGGTAATAAAAAACCATTAAGAAAAGACTGACTATAATACTATGTAAACTAAAACACTAAATGACAAACAGCAGTCTGCTATACACCGAACAGAAAACAACACTGATCCCATTAAAAATGTAGTGTGATTGCATATCTCTAAAAAAGAATTTTGGAGCTAAATCTGCTTTAAACCCTTCTGGAGCATCTGTGATCACCCCCAATTTTTGATGGGGTTTGTGTTGCTCAGTCTATAGTTTTCTATGTTATGATTTGTTGGTTGTTTTTCATTGTTTGTCATGGCGTTGTCAATTTTTTTTTCGACTTCTGAGTGAATATATCTTGGGTATCTTTGGCCTCTCTTTGACCAAGAATGTCAAATATTAATTTTCATGATATCAAAGTGAAAATTACAAACTGCTTTCATGCAGTTCAGTGTGCAGTTAAAAGAAATCACAAATGGCATGTCTGCACTAAAGTGAGCAGACTGTTTCATTCAATAACAATAGAATTAACATAATGTAGTAAGGACTAAAAAAAAAACCATTTTTTTTCAATTTTGTTTCAAAAGAAATGGCTCTTATCATACATACTCCCTACTTATTGTTAAAATTAATAATCTAATTATTAAAATGATGTATATTCAGTATTTAGAAGTGGGGGATGTAGATTTGCTGATCAGATTGCAAATCTGGAGATTGATAAAACATTGAAATGTTGTAAAATAGTTTTTTTACTGAACTTGTGTTTAGTTATATATTGTCATATTTTTAGGAAGCACACTTAAAATTATTTATTTATAATATTAGTAATGAAATAAATTTAAAGATGTTTTATAATTTAAAGTATCTTCACTAGCACAATAGTTCAGCGTCACCAAAATGCTGAATGGGTTTATTTTCTTTTAAGTCCAATGAACAGTTAATATAGATGGGTCCAAACAAAATTTCTTTTGACAATCAAAAATTTAAAACTATCAATTCGGAAACCAAATCAAACATGATGGGACAAGTATAATAGAGTTTTTATTATTTTTTTTGGCCAGTCAGACTGGTTTCATTGATGAATGCTTGTATTGTTAAAGTGAAGACTGAAAAAAAATCAAACCTTAGTTTGAAACCTTCAGAAAGTAGTTCATGTATAAAATACTGTAAATTCAGAAAATTATTGTGAGGTTCTTATTAATGTGAATAATCAGACTGGGAGAGTATCTCAGTAATAAGAACTAGCATTCTGATATCTGATACATATATCTGTATGCAAATTTTCCTGAAATCGCAGTAATTAATCTCGCATTTTTGTCCATTTTTAAAAAATCTCAATGATAAATGTGTGCAATAATTTGTGAATTTACAGTAATAAAGACGAACATTCTAACACTTTTTAACCTGTGTAATCTAAGTACCTGTCTAATCTGGACAACATTTTTATAGTCCCATATATTTTGATTTTACTGGTTTATTTGTATTCTGTTGATTTTTTTTCTATTTTTTTTTTCTTTTTTTTTATCTTCATTTTAATTTAGTCTGCATGTCAGTTCATACAGATGTCTTCTCCTGTAAAAAGTGCTAATATTGTGTTCAGGTGACGGGAAACAACATTTTTTTATTATTTCTATTATATGTTTCTGAAAAAGAAAGATAAATAATGAAAGAACTATGATTGATATGGGTAACAATCTATGCCTTGGGACTTAAAAAACTATCTATGTTAGTTTTGACCATATTTCTCTCATTTTTTCTTGAGAGTTTGAGCATTATGTTAAATTTTTTGGGGACATGTGAACTACCAAACTGCACATATGTGCAAAATAATTTGCATACAATTCTTACTTGCATCTTATGTGATTCACATGTGGAACTCATGTACTTTTGTTAGCAATTTCTCTACTGGTTAAACACAAACCAGATTGTAGCAGAGTTTTCATAGCTCTTCTTTACTGGGTGGAGTTGTAAATTGCAGGTTGTGTATGTTACTGTAAATTCAGAAATTATTGCGTGCATTTATTATTGCGATTGTTAAAGAAAGAACAAAAATGTGAGATTAATTATTGCGATTTCAGATAAACCTGCATACAGATATATGTATCAGATATAAGAATGTGAGTTCTTAATATTGCGATTCCCACCCAGTCGCATTATTCGCATTAATAAAAACCTCGCAATGATTTCTGAATTTACAGTAGCCTCCCATTTGTATGTTTACACTTTGAATAGTGTTAATTCAGAAATTATTGCGTGCATTTATTATTGCGATTTTTGAAGAATGGACATAGATGCGATTATGATTCTGATTTCAGGAAAAGCTGCATACAGATATCAGATATCAGAATGTGGGTTATTATTGTGATGCTCACCCAGTCACATTATTCTCATTAATAAAAACCTTGCAATAGTTACTGAATTTACAGAAGTATTTCTGTTTGAAACTAAACTAGGGATGCTGAAATTTTTTTTAAATCTTCAGTGGCCAGTGATATTTAATATCTATTTTTAGCTCACCTGACCTGAAAGGTCAAGTGAGCTTTTCTCATCACTTTGCGTCCGTCGTCCGTCGTCCGTCGTCCGTAAACTTTTACAAAAATCTTCTCCTCTGAAACTACTGGGCCAAATTTAACCAAACTTGGCCACAATCATCATTGGGGTATCTAGTTTTAAAAATGTGTGGCGTGACCCGGTCAACCAACCAAGATGGCCGCCACGGCTAAAAATAGAACATAGGGGTAAAATGCAGTTTTTAGCTTATAACTCAAAAACCAAAGCATTAAGAGCAAATCTGACATGGGGTAAAATTGTTCATCAGGTCAAGATCTATCTGCCCTGAAATTTTCAGATGAATCGGACAACCCGTTATTGGGTTGCTGCCCCTGAATTGGTAATTTTAAGGAAATTTTGCTGTTTTTGGTTATTATCTTGAATATTATTATAGATAGAGATAAACTGTAAACAGCAATAATGTTCAGCAAAGTAAGATTTACAAATAAGTCAATATAACCGAAATGGTCAGTTGACCCCTTTAGGAGTAATTGCCCTTTATAGTCAATTTTTAACCATTTTTCGTAAATCTTAGTAATCTTTTACAAAAATCTTCTCCTCTGAAACAACTGGGCCAAATTAAACCAAACTTGGCCACAATCATCATTAGGGTATCTAGTTTAAAAAATGTGTGGCGTGACCCGGCCAACCAACCAAGATGGCCACCACAGCTAAAAATAAAACATAGGGGTAAAATGCAGTTTTTGGCTTATAACTCAAAAACCAAAGCATTTAGAGCAAATCTGACATGAAGTAAAATTGTTTATCAGGTCAAGATCTATCTGCCCTGAAATTTTCAGATGAATCGAACAACCTGTTGTTGGGTTGCTGCCCCTGAATTGGTAATTTTAAGGAAATTTTGCTGTTTTTGGTTATTATCTTGAATATTATTATAGATAGAGATAAACTGTAAACAGCAATAATGTTCAGCAAAGTAAGATTAACAAATAAGTCAACATGACTGAAATGGTCAGTTGACCCCTTTAGGAGTTATTGCCCTTTATAGTCAATTTTTAACAATTTTTCGTAAATCTTAGTAATCTTTTACAAAAATCTTCTCCTCTGAAACTCTGTGGCCAAATTGAACCAAACTTGGCCACAATCATCATTTGGTTATCTAGTTTTAAAAATATGTGGCGTGACCTGGTCAACCAACCAAGATGGCCGCCACGGCTAAAAATAGAACATAGGGGTAAAATTCAGTTTTTGGCTTTTAACTCAAAAACCAAAGCATTTAAAGCAAATCTGACATGGGGTAAAATTGTTTATCAGGTCAAGATCTATCTGCCCTGAAATTTTCAGATGAATCGGACAACCCGTTATTGGGTTGCTGCCCCTGAATTGGTAATTTTAAGGAAATTTTGCTGTTTTTGGTTATTATCTTGAATATTATTATAGATAGAGATAAACTGTAAACAGCAATAATGTTCAGCAAAGTAAGATTTACAAATAAGTCAATATAACCGAAATGGTCAGTTGATCCCTTTAGGAGTAATTTTCCTTTATAGTCAATTTTTAACCATTTTTAGCTCACCTGACCTGAAAGGTCAAGTGAGCTTTTCTCATCACTTTGCGTCCGTCGTCCGTCGTCCTGCGTCCGTCGTCCGTCGTCCGTAAACTTTTACAAAAATCTTCTCCTCTGAAACTACTGGGCCAAATTTAACCAAACTTGGCCACAATCATCATTGGGGTATCTAGTTTTAAAAATGTGTGGCGTGACCCTGTCAACCAACCAAGATGGCCGCCACGGCTAAAAATAGAACATAGGGGTAAAATGCAGTTTTTAGCTTATAACTCAAAAACCAAAGCATTAAGAGCAAATCTGACAGGGGTAAAATTGTTCATCAGGTCAAGATCTATCTGCCCTGAAATTTTCAGATGAATCGGACAACCCGTTATTGGGTTGCTGCCCCTGAATTGGTAATTTTAAGGAAATTTTGCTGTTTTTGGTTATTATCTTGAATATTATTATAGATAGAGATAAACTGTAAACAGCAATAATGTTCAGCAAAGTAAGATTTACAAATAAGTCAATATAACCGAAATGGTCAGTTGACCCCTTTCGGAGAAATTGCCCTTTATAGTCAATTTTTAACCATTTTTCGTAAATCTTAGTAATCTTTTACAAAAATCTTCTCCTCTGAAACAACTGGGCCAAATTAAACCAAACTTGGCCACAATCATCATTGGGGTATCTAGTTTAAAAAATGTGTGGCGTGACCAGGCCAACCAACCAAGATGGCCGCCACAGCTAAAAATAAAACATAGGGGTAAAATGCAGTTTTTGGCTTATAACTCAAAAACCAAAGCATTTAGAGCAAATCTGACATGAAGTAAAATTGTTTATCAGGTCAAGATCTATCTGCCCTGAAATTTTCAGATGAATCGAACAACCTGTTGTTGGGTTGCTGCCCCTGAATTGGTAATTTTAAGGAAATTTTGCTGTTTTTGGTTATTATCTTGAATATTATTATAGATAGAGATAAACTGTAAACAGCAATAATGTTCAGCAAAGTAAGATTAACAAATAAGTCAACATGACTGAAATGGTCAGTTGACCCCTTTAGGAGTTATTGCCCTTTATAGTCAATTTTTAACAATTTTTCGTAAATCTTAGTAATCTTTTACAAAAATCTTCTCCTCTGAAACTACGTGGCCAAATTAAACCAAACTTGGCAACAATCATCATTTGGTTATCTAGTTTTAAAAATGTGTGGCGTGACCTGGTCAACCAACCAAGATGGCCGCCACGGCTAAAAATAGAACATAGGGGTAAAATTCAGTTTTTGGCTTTTAACTCAAAAACCAAAGCATTTAAAGCAAATCTGACATGGGGTAAAATTGTTCATCAGGTCAAGATTTATCTGCCATGAAATTTTCAGATGAATCAGACAACCCGTTATTGGGTTGCTGCCCCTGAATTGGTAATTTTAAGGAAATTTTGCTGTTTTTGGTTATTATCTTGAATATTATCATAGATAGAGATAAACTGTAAACAGCAATAATGTTCAGCAAAGTAAGATTTACAAATAAGTCAATATAACCGAAATGGTCAGTTGACCCCTTTAGGAGTAATTGCCCTTTATAGTCAATTTTTAACCATTTTTTCGTAAATCTTAGTAATCTTTTACAAAAATCTTCTCCTCTGAAACAACTGGGCCAAATTAAACCAAACTTGGCCACAATCATCATTTGGTTATTTAGTTTTAAAAATGTGTGGCGTGACCTGGTCAACCAACCAAGATGGCCGCCACGGCTAAAAATAGAACATAGGGGTAAAATTCAGTTTTTGGCTTTTAACTCAAAAACCAAAGCATTTAAAGCAAATCTGACATGAAGTAAAATTGTTTATCAGGTCAAGATCTATCTGCCCTGAAATTTTCAGATGAATCGGACAACCTGTTGTTGGGTTGCTGCCCCTGAATTGGTAATTTTAAGGTAATTTTGCTGTTTTTGGTTATTATCTTGAATATTATTATAGATAGAGATAAACTGTAAAAAACGATAAATGTCGGCAAAGTAAGATCTACAAATAAGTCAACATGACCGAAATTGTCAGTTGACCCCTTTAGGAGTTATTGCCCTTTATAGTCAATTTTAACCATTTTTTCGTAAATCTTAGTAATCTTTTACAAAAATCTTCTCCTCTGAAACTACTGGGCCAAGTTAATTATAGATAGAGATAATTGTAAGCAGGAAAAATGTTCAGTAAACTAAGATGTACAAACACATCACCATCACCAAAACACAATTTTGTCATGAATCCATCTGCGTCCTTTGTTTAATATTCACATAGACCAAGGTGAGCGACACAGGCTCTTTAGAGCCTCTAGTTATTTCAATATTTTAAACCAAATTAATTTAGAGTTTGGCAAAGTATAGGCTTTATCAAAATGAAGGGATTAGGAGTAAGTTATGTTAGCAGGTTTCTTTATTTTGTTTTCATGATTTCCATAGTATGAAATATAAGTCAAAATTTAATTATTTATGTTGTTTTTTTTTCTATGTATTAATGATGTCTTTTATCTTGTTATACTATAAATAATAAATATTGTATATTTATTTACTCTATATCTTCCTATATTTCATCATTCATCTTTCTGGAGAGCTGGATTCTTTGGTGGCTAAGTGGTCTAAGAAGTTCATCTCCGCATGTGGTAGGTATGCTCTAATCCTAATTGACTAGGATTGCTAGTTTTTCCACCAAAGGTATTTGGTTCTCTATGATTACTGCGGCTTCCTCCACCAATAAAAACTGGCAGCCAAGATATAGCCAGGAGCGCTGAAAGTTGTGTTTAACACCAACAAATGATTAATCAAACAATCAATCCTTAGTGCTGCTTTGCTTTAATATTTTGGTGTATGACTGTTTGCCACTACTAAAATATTATTTGCCGGAACGGTTGGAACCCCTGTTTTTATGTCAAATTACAAATAGTAGGTTTAACCTTACCTGGGATAATTTGAAGGACAATGATTTGAATTTACATCAAATAATTAAAGACAATGCTCAAGTTCTACGTTTTGGCTCAGAACTTTATAGACTGTCAAAATAAAAAAGAAACAATCTTGCTTCACTTCTGTTGATCTTTCTAATACATGTAATGTTGTTATGTACTTGACGTCATAGTAAAATACTTTAAATTTAGATTGGTACCCCTCGAAAAAATATTGTCAACCTTGGCTTTGCCTCAGTTGACAATGTTTTCTCGGGGTAACAATCTGCTCTATCACCCCTTGGAGGCCACATGAGATAAGGTTATGTTTCCTGACTTGGTACAGGCACATATAGAATGTGGTGGGGTTAAACATGTTAGCGGGGGGGGGGGGGGGGGGGGGGCAACCCTCGCCTAACCTGGGACAGTGGTGTTACAATACAACATATTAACAAACTATAAAAATCAGTTGAATAGG